AAAATAATTACATTTCCGTTTGTAATAAAGAAATATATTGTGAGGAATATAGTAGAAAATATATAATAATATTTTTTGATAACGTTTTAAGTGCTTTACATTTGCAATAAGTATTTCATATTAATTTTGAAGTCAATGATTATCGTTGAGTTTCCCTAAACGACAGTCCAATAAATAATAAAATAGATTTACTCTCTAATAGTGATTATCTGAATAAATACTACACTATATTAAAAGGTAGAGAAAACGGAATATAAAATAAGCTTTTTCTTTATATAAAAAAGTTTTATCTTATTTTATTATATTTCATATAAACGACGAAAAAAGGGGACAAAAATTATATATGGTTTTCATATCAAAATGTAAGTCATTTTATTTACACTTCACTAATGGCTTATAATATCTGATATATATTTTATATAATGAAAACCCAAGAATGTGTTCATAATATATATGAGATTTCATATCAAAAGACATACAATTGACTGAATAATTGTAAAAGTATTTTCTTTCATCCATTTGTATGTTTCGGCCATTTCTTTGACACCAATCCTATATTTAACAACTATTTTCCGCAAACTTTTTTACTTAAATAATTGGATATTAATCTAACAAAAAAACTTATTAAATAACGTATTTTCCTTATTAATGATTCTTTAGGGTAAAAATGGAGAATATATTAGGATTAGTGATATTATTGTGGGCATCGGTGGCCGGAGTGATGTGCCAACAGATTATGCCCAATCAGCCCATAACGGACGCCAATCAAGTGGGAGCGTCGCCCGTATTCTACACCGAAGTGATCGCCAAACAGTGCATTGATGTGAATCAAGGAGTCGTCGGCCGCTCTTTTCCTACCGGACAGAGTGTCGAGAGTTTCATATCACTCGTCGAACTGTTGGAGACACTCATCTACAACGGCACAGACCAGGCGCTCGTTCAGCACATGGGCGCCGAGAATGTGGCCCGACTTTTGCTCAGGAGGTATGTCTTACTTGTAATCGTATTGTTAACGTATTTCCACCATAATGTTAATTCACACCTATATTATCAGTATATAAAAACTATAATGTACTAAACACAATAATGCATATGAGTTAAACTAGATTAAATTAATCACACACATTGAATTGACCATGTTAAATTCAGATTCCGGTTCGACGGCTACGACGACGCCCAGCCGTCGACACTGAAGAAGCAAAAAGATCTGGAGTTCCAGAACTTCAATAACGCAGTGCTGAAGAAAGGCGACGGCCAGACACTGCTCACCGGTTACTACTTTCCCGACCAGTATTTCAAACTGGAAGAGCTCTGTTCGCTACACGACATGCTCTCACATAATATCTATAACGTTAAAATCCAGCGGCGAGTATCATATGCGCAGGTATTCCGCGGCAAACGCCAGGCCTATCGGCCGCAGAACCAGAATCCATACCAACAGAACAGGGATCAGAACCAGAACCAGAGGAACAGCTGGAATGCACCCGTCAATAATAACAACAATAATGGGAATTGGCACGATGGCAAGTTTATCAATAACAACAACAACAACAATAATAATAATAATCGGCCGCCGATTGCGTCCAACTTCTTGAATAACGGAAATTATGGTCAAAACCGAACTCAGGTTCCGATCAAAGAAGAAGGAGTGGCCAGTCTTCGGGCCGACCGGAAAGAGGCCATAGCCATGGCTCGAGTGCTGTTGGGTGTGATCGCCGGCCTATCGATGGACGCCCGGACGCAGGCGAGCGATATATTGAAATCGTGGGGATCTAGCACTCAGATGCAACCGGCTTACGATCAACAGCTGGACCCCGTGGCCGCCATGACTCTGGCCGACCTCTGGAGCATTAATTCCGCAAAAACCAATATTTACGACCAGTATTTATACGGAGTGACCGGACAGTGGGAGACCAGCACTTGTGCCACACATTACGGCCTCGAAAACATACCCGAAGATAAGTTTAAGGACATTGACCACTATATCCGGGCCACGAGGGCTGAGATCAGGGGCGGTATCGATGGGTATCTGATCGGCACGAATTTGCGTTCGCCCCAATTCCACCTTGATAACCCACAGAGCCTTAGGCTGAGCGCTATTTTGCGCTCCTATTACTCGAAGCCCATTCAGCCCAAGTCGTCCACATTCTCGGCCTCCGTGTGTGACCGCAATCGTATCGGTCAGGAGATCCCAAAAATCCAGGGCTACGCCACGACATACCAATCGATCGTTGCCACCAGAAATGGCGGCAAATTGCCCGTCGATTTGGACCAGAGGTTTTCGCAGGAGATTCAAAACGCTGTCAGCGGCGCCGGTATGTATAGACACAGCGCAAGTGTCCCGAAGCTTTCGCTTTCCCCATATATTTTATAATTAGTGAGTAATCGCCTCATAAACGCGTCGACACGACAGCTATTATGCGATCGCCGGGGGATCCGGAGGTTGCGTGCGTTCGACACCCGAAACGCGAACCCTTTGCTCCCTATGCTGTCCGCCAGAGGCAGAAAAGTATGGACACCGAGTGGTGGCTGTTGTGGCGGTTTCCAAGTGGCGGACACTCGCACCCGACTCCTGGCCTCATATATGGCGCACAACCAGACATAACAACTTATTTATTTGATTTAGTGATCTATAAATCATTAGCTGTCGCCCCCTTTGAGGTCAGATGTCATTAGTATCTATACTAACACTATAATTAATCTGAAGAGTGATCTCATATAAGGGCACCATTTATTGTCTTAAAGTCTAATCATATGGTTGTGCGCCATATCTATAGGCGAAAGGGTTTGTCCAATCGCTGTCTCGTCACCACAAACTAATCCCAATTAGTCTTACTCTTAAATCCCACTATAATTAGCGTTAATTTGGGAAATAAATTGACCATTTTGTGTCTACTATAGGAGGTGCGAGTTTATCGGACTACTGTAATATCCCGGGCAGTGTCTACGACAAGACAGCCCCGTGTGAGACCCCATCGGACGTGATCTATGTGATCGACGCCCACGACTTGCAATCGGTGCAGCGGTCGGCCGACATCGTGGCCGCCACCAACTCCTATCTCACTCAGATCAGAGCCGGTGCCGGCGCTATCACCATATTCATTAACAGTCTCGGCGGCAATGACGTCAACAATCAGGTGTGGCTCCCGCAGGGCACCTGGCCTTTGGTTCCCGTCGTCTTTAATAGCACAAACACCGGGTGCTCGCAGTGCAGGATCAATGACTTTAACCAAAGTATGTCCTATTTTTTGTAATGGTTTTTCAATTAATGTTTAATATTAATTATCATTGATTTATAGCCCAAAAGTCTGTGGTGAAGAACACGGGCGCGTTTTTCCGCGCTCTGAACACGACCTTGTTCAATTACGAGTGGTGGACTCCCCGCACCAACGACTCTGCCATCCCGGCCAAGTCGGCCGTTATCATTGACTTCGGTTCGATGACTGCGGCGCCCGATTCGGGCACAGATCGCGACGATTACAACTACTTCAAGGATCAGCTCCGGTACAGACACCGAGACGTCCGCTTCCTTCCCGTCGCCAACGATCAGAAACTGTTTGAAGACATTGTCCCCGAAGGCTACCAAACCGACGCTCCCGGCGGTGATGTCTCCCAAATCGGCCGCAGTTTAGCGCAAAAGATATGC